TTTATTTAAAGCTACAACAAGTGCTTTATAAGTGAAATTTGTTTGTTTTGGTCTAATCGTATTCAATCTCGCTCGTATGCTTGCCGCGCACCACGAAAGAAGCTTTGTTCCCGCCTTGTTTAAGGTCTCTTTTGAACACCTATTGGATAACCTTGTTTCTGAAAAGAGATATTATTGTTTTGGAACAAAGTCTGGAAAAAGTCTTGAATTTTGGATCCAAAAATACGAACCCTGTTTTAGTGTTTATGGGAGCAAGGAAAGCGCCGCAATCGTCGAACTTTGAAATGAAAGTGAAAAGAGAGAAATTTCAAGCGATCTTCTTAAAGGGAAAACACTAAGAAAACGTGATCAGTGCTTTTGTAATTTTTCGACAGCGCACGTAGAACTTGCGAAGAACTTGACTTAGAACTTGGTCAGGAAAACCAAAGACAGGCACTTATATTTTAGACAAAGAAGAGTATAACCATTCACCATTATCTTAAGGTTTTGTTTCACTGCAATGTGTTTTGGGGGTCTTGTGATATTCCAATACCGAGAATTGAGTTAACTCTCCTGCCTTCGTTATGACACAGACTTTTAAGCGTCCATGACTTGTCTGAATTGTCTTTATATGTCTCATACTAAGATGTAACAGTAATTTTTACTTGGTCACCAAAGCCATAGAAAGGTTGAACCATCTGTAGTCTAGCCTGCAACATTACCCTCTGTTGACCAGCGCTCTACCAAGTGGGCTAACTTCACCTTTTTGCCTTTTTCTGGGGTTTTTGTTTTTAAATTCCATTTTTCTCCCCAGAAAGACCAGGAGAATGTCGAGGCGCCATTTTACTACTTGGCCAAAGAATTTCACAACCTTTACCACGAAAAAATCGAACAGATGAAGACAATAACATAGTAATTCAATATAAGCTTATCGTGTAACTCTAACTCCTAAAAAGTTAGTCTTTAATTTGTTACAAAGGAAACTTCCCTCACCGTATGTTATGTTGCAGCGAGGTGATAGCCTGCGAGCAAGTTTTACGCGATGACGGAAACTATCCTAAACGAAACTTGCTCTTTTACACAGGCTAAAAGAGAACTGTCTTGTTATTCTTGATGAAAAAGCACTTTTCAGCAGATTTTAAGTCAGGCTTATACGTATGATGATCTAACTGGCATCAGCAAACATCGAAAAGACTCAAAACACGTTGTTTGTTCATATTAACTGCGGGGGTTTGATAAAAGATGCCAAAATAAGATGACTCATATTGTCCTTGCAATTTCGCACGTTTCTTCGAAGATTCATCTCTCAGCGTTTTTCTTTATGTGTCATCGCTCGACAAGTTTTTCGTTGTACTAAATCTCTTAAAATACAGTTTTTACCGCGAGGAAGCTCGAAGTTCTATGACAAAAATGTTGAAGTTGTTCCACCAAGGCCTCCTCTCCCACGTCGTTAGTTCGGGCTTAAATTTTTAAGAGAGTGCTTGACTTTTTTCCTAACTATTCCGCGGCATGAGTTTGTTTGTAAACAGAGTGCAGCATTTCACGTTTGATATGTAGGCTTTGAAAGCATCTTATTTATTCAGGCTATTTTCAGACTATACACGTGATAGCTTTTGCGCCGGCACGAAACTAGACTACGAGTAGTCCCCCATTTTTCCTCAGGGATAGTAGAGCGAGCGAAACGCGAGCTCGCGCGCTTGAAAATCACCCCACGCGAGAAAAGGCGACACGCCCACGCGCGCTCGCGTTTCGTTCGCTCTACTATCCCTGAGGAAAAATGGGGGACTACTCGTAGTCTAGCACGAAACCCGTACCGCATAGGGCTTTTGTTCAGACATAAGAACGGTGATTTCGGCGCGATTTCTGTAACGGAGCGAAGGTACGCCGCGCCCATCTCTAAAGTAGAGTGTCACATATCGGATAGGTGTTCCCACTGTGCCAGATGGCTTTTAGTGTCGGCGCGAAAAGCCTAGACGCTTGGAAGTAGTGGGCACAAGAATGAACGAGCGCGCGAGAGACACGCGAGACCCCTTGCGTGTCTCCCTCTCGCGCGCCCGTTCTTTCTTGGGCCTGCTACGCAGGCTAGCGCAA